CAGGTACATTTTGCCCAATGAACCTCCAAACCATGGAGCCACACAGAATTAGCTGGATTATAGTGGGTTCAAGTCATTTATTTTTAGATTGTACCAGCATGTTTGGTTCTGGGGTCCAAATTCCAGAAAAATAAACTAATGAGAACCACATGCACTATGAGAAGGCCATTCCGATGTGTCCGTGATCATGCGGTGAGGGGGCAGAGAATACAGACCAGGAGCCCTGGGCATGGAGCAGGGCCTCACTTGGACAGCTGACAGAAACTGGCTCCGAGCCCTCGTTGAGAATGGGGAGAGGGCTGAGGCTGGGTCATTTGGACCCTGTCCCTTATGGCACCGGGCCGCTTATTGCTACATTTGCTACTTTGCTACTTTATGGCCCCTGGGTTGTACCCAGGGAATGCCTATCACTGGGTGGTACTAATGAGTAAGCTGCTGGCGTCTGCTGTTGCCATGGTTACATGAGCACAGGCCTCTCTTCAGAGGGTCCCATGGTGAGTTATCGGGGATTCATTTGGCCGCTGTTAGACTGTGCCACACATAGTCCTTGCTACATACTCAACTCAGCCAGCCCCATTGGAGGCTGGTGGCACATTATTCACCTCCCCACCCACCAAGGCTTTCCAGCTCCAGGGCCTTGCTGAAATACCTCCCTCTAATACATTTCGCAAGTCCCAACACCAACAGCCCTCAAGCCTTTCCAGCTTCTGGTAAGGCTTCTTAGTGGTAGCTTTTGAAGTCCACACATTTGGAGCACAATGGAAGGAGTGCATTTTAGGAAAGACATCGACTTTCACAACCAGCCAAGGGGCCACATGGGTGGCAGGCTCCTGGTTCAGCGTCCTGTTGGTGAGGTAGTTTGAACACACCAGCAATCCTGCCAGGGGAAAAGTCCCTAGAGCATGTCCCCAGGTGTTCACTGGTCCAAGAGTTGTGAGAGTTCCCTTCTAGGTACTGGCCTATCTCACTCCTTGGCAGTGGTGGCCTGGGGCACTGCCAGCTGACTGCCCTGGTGGGCTGGGCCCTGCTGTGTTCCTGGGGTACAGCAACACCTTCCCAGGAGATCAAAGCATTACTTTCTGGCAAAGTAGGAGCCCTCTCTCCAGCCTAGAGAGTTGCTGCTGTGTAGGCCTGGTCCTCTGGCTGCTGCTGGGCATTTACCTGTGTCAGCCTACAGGTTTTACTCTTCCCATGTAGGCCAAGGCTATATCAGTAAGATGCCCAACACCTGGTGTCTGTGTGTCTGTCTTGATGGATGAGTGGTTGCTTCTAAGCCTGTCCTGATGCTTTGGCCATGGGGCTGCCAACATATTTGCCCTGTGAGCTCTCATTGGGAAGAGTTTTGGGCCCAGAGATGGTGCCCAGTCAGGGGAGCTACAGAAGCTTCTGGAGGCAGGGGAACATGCTTTGCTACAAAACTGCCTTCAAACATTTAATCTGGTCTGAATTTTTGGCTGTGCAGACCAAGCCAACAAGGAACTGGCCAAGACCAGATTTTCCAAATGTACTTTCATTTTAAAGTCTACACAGTAGACTGAGCTTGGACTGGCCAACTGGGTGGAACAACACTATGACACCTTCTGTTATTAGGCGTGATCTACTGCAGTGGTAGTCACAGGACTGGCATGCCTGGGTGGCAGGTGGGATGAAGGGGTTATTGCTCTAAAGCACCCTTACCTCTATTGAGCCTGCTGGCCAGCCCTGGATGTCCCCAGAGGTGTTTTGAAGCTGCTCCATCTCAAGGCCACAGTCCTTCTGGCTCTGGGTGTGCTCTCTGGGGGCCTCCAAGGTGAATCAAGTCTCAGGTCAGTGTCACTCAAGGACAGCAGCCAGAGTGGCTAGAGAAGCCAACGCTGCCTTGTCCGCAGTCATGGGGAAGAGCAAGAGGCAGCCAGGCTGTTGCCTTGGATAAGTGAGGGCACAGAGGGACCTGCTATTCTGGAACTTCTGTCCACATGCCCTGTGCCTCATGTCAGTACAGCTTGGGGACTGTTGGCAGGGAGTGGCGTTCTTTGGGCAATGTTGGGTGCAAAGGAACTTGAACTGCAATTTGGTTCTGAAACAAGAGGTCTGTGTGCAAAGCAAGGGGATTTAAAAAGGGTGGAAAGAGGAGAAGAGGGGTCAAAAGACCCCATAACAATGGCTAGGGCTTTATTTCAGTCATTATCTAATATCTGCCAGGTGCCAGGCTCTGTGCTGAGGTCGTGTGGAATGCCTGATGAGAACCTGGGTCTATAGAGCCACTCCTGGAGACACTCTGAGGACTTAACATATGTCACCTAACTTCCACGGAATCTCAGAGAGAGAGCAACTACTGCTAGTAGGGGAAAGTGAGCATGGTGGTCAAGAACCCAAAAGGGTACAACCCTAATCAAGACTCTTAATGGCCCATCTGTGATAGATGAAAGCCTGGTGCCCTGGGGACAGGGCCCGGTAGAATCAGACACGACATAGCATAGGGGTGGGGGTTGGAAAGATGGTTCATGGGAGCACCCAGGAGGCAAGGTCTGCAAACCAGCTTATGCTCCTTTGGTTACCAGCTGGCGAATTTGCCTACAGGAGCAAAGAAATACCAGTGATCGCTTTTTTGCTTCTACGTTTGCTGTTTATACATTCCCAAGGGAGATTTTTTTCACCTATGGCCAAAAATAAGTCAAAAGAGGAGAGTCATAGCAGGTGGGGAAGTGAGCGTCTGAATTCAAAAACATGTTGCTTAATACTGCTCTGTCCAAAGGCCTATGGGAGACACATGATAATGACAAGAATGAGAGTAATAGCTACCATTTGCTAAGCACCTACTATGTGTCAGGCACCTGACTTGGTACTTCACATACATTACCTCACAGCCAAGTTGGCAGATGAGCATTTTGACACACACATGAAGGGAATACAAGTGGATCTTTCGCAGGTTTTTGCAAGTGTTGCTTTCTGTCTGCTCTTCCCCTCGATGACTGGTATTGTTTAGCGGGGTGCCTTTGCTCGGCCGTCAGAGAACCATTTGGCCCTGGCCTAGCCCCTCTGTAGCATATGCCCCTTCAGCTTCACATACCACTGAGACCTGGCTCAGCAGGGACCCAGCTACTACCGTAAGAATGCCACAATGTGGGGGCTGTCAGCTGTGTGACCCAGTGTCCCACCCCCAGCTGGGAACCCTCCTGGGGCTACGGGAGGGGAGGATCCCAATGGCCCCTGAGTTCATGGCCATGTTTATTTTGAGTCAAACGTGAGGGAACAAACCAAGGAAAGGGGCAAAAACAGAATCAATTATGAAATCATAAATTTTTAAAGAGATGGTCAGAATCTTCATCGCTGTTAATCCACAAGTTCTTTCATCTACACTAGTGCTTCTCTGGTGTCGGACCCTTGAGGCATTTGACAGGACCAGAGGGCAGCCACCACACCTGTGGAGACCACTTCAGAAGTTGGCCTCTAACGGGGTGAAGGAACCGGAGGCACAGCCGTCCCGAGGTTGCTCAGCGCTGACGGCGTGATTATACGTGTTGCGTGGGGTCAGGTGGCCATGGGGACCGGGGCGGGGTGTCAGTGGGCGGAGGCGGGAGGCGGTGGGGGCGCAGTGGCTATAACTGTGCTGGGTGCTGTGGGTGCACCAGAGAGACGGTGGAGAGATGGGGCGGAACACTGGATGTGCTCAAGGCCGGACGGTCCTTCTTGCGTTTGCTGGGCAGCGCGATCCCCCAGACAGCGGGAGGAGTGATGCTAATAAGAATATGATCTCAAGTGATAGTCACAACACCCCACAAGATGTTCTCCCCTGAACGAGTTAGGGATAAGGACCTCTCCGAGAACGGGGTGTCGGCGCACAACTGTACAAGGAAGAGACGTTTGTAAACAGGGGCCTCTACCGGGCCGAACCCAGGCTCTGTGGACTCTTTCAGCTCTCCTCGTTCACCCACCGAATCTCCCCACCGCTGCTTCTCCTTGCCCTCACTCTTTCTCTTTCACAGTGACCAAATCTCCCCGTAAGGAAACTCTGTCCGCGGAGATGGAGCGTCGCCTCCTGCCCGCGTGGTCCTCGGGCGCCGGCCCTGCGGTGGGAACCTTCAGGAGGACTGCATCAGGCCCGTGAGGCGCTTGCCCGCCAGCGACTTTCCCTGCAGAGACACGCGACAGAGGCACACACGCACACACGCGCACACACACACACACACACGCACGCACGCACGCGAGCGCGCACGTGCACACAGAGGGACAGAGACAGAGAGCCAGACAGGTGAATTAATTGTTGCACGAGCCACGGAGTCCAAATGACTTAGTCACCTGTCCCCTTTGATCTCTGGATTTGGGAGCCTTAACTGCAGACAGTTGGAAAAACCAGGAGTCTGGGGCGGGTTAGGGAGGGAGGAGGGTGTGTTGCCCTATTCTTTCTGGAGTGTAGGAATTTTACTTACCCCACGCCAGGCATTGCAGCTCTTAGAGCGTCTCTTAATGCCTGTGGGCTGTCCCTGAACTTGATTTTATTCAAGCGAGGAAGGAAAAAGTGGACTGGGGAGCATTAAGATCACGGAGGGTAGGTTGACCCAAATAGATGCTAGCTAAGGATCTGGATGATTAGAAACTAATGAATTAACTAGTAGTCTGAAGAATGCAGAAGACCTAGGAATCCTGTTTGAAATGCAGGAGAGACACACAGGCTTTGGGTCCTCTTGATGACCCAGTTTGGGACTGTGGAAGGGATATTCGCTGCAGCTCAGAGCCTGGGCTGGTGACAGGGTGCCACCGCAGGCCCTGGGGCAGTGCGCTGTTGCTGTCTCCTGTGATCTTGGCTCCCCCTCTGTGGTCCCCAGGGCGTCCACATCAGGAATTCTACATGCCCTTTACTTACAACCTATGTAGCTATTCTTGAAACTGTGAAGATGAACCAGGCCGTAAGGCCTGGTGCATGAGACACAGAGGGCCTAAGAGAGGCCAGTTGTTCATACACCTGGGAGGAGGTGACTGAGGAGCCTCTGATGTGGGCACAAGGGGAGAGATGATGAGGATGAGTGAGGCTCAGTCGCTCTGCTCAGTTCCCTTGATGTGGTCTGAGCCCATTTCCCGTTCCCCTCTTCAGAAATCCATGGCATCAGACAGGGGTCTAGAGGACAATGTGGCTGGACCCAAGCAGATTGATCACTGTGTCTGAGAAAACACTCAAAACCCATCCTGTTATTGACAGGGGGTCAGTGACACCATTGCCATCTGCGAAGGGCAGCACACGATTGCTCGTCAGCACAGGCGGCAGTATTTGGTAGCGGGAGATTGCAAGGGCCAGTAGTTCCTCATGTTCATTTCCAAGTGGGGTGTGAAGGCTCAGCTTGTTTACTGGGCTTGGCTGCGTGTAAGCTGGATGTAATTAAAAAAATTGATCAGGCCTGTGAAGCCTGGTGGGGTACTCAATAAACCTGCTGATTGATGAATTGATGGATAATGGGCATAACTAACAAATAAACGACATGGGCTGTGAGTTTGCTGGATGCAGGACAATGTGTCATCTGGCTTAACACTCCATGGAGGGACATGCCAGCTTGACTTTGAGAATTCTGATAGCATGGATGGGGAGCTTGTCTGGAAGTGAAATTGCTCTCAGGAGCTACTGGAAAGTCTGCATCTACCTCCCTCTGCTCTTTTTTTTCCCGTCTTCCTTTCACTATCATCACGTTCTCCCACTCCTCATTTTCACTAGTGAGATAAACTTTTCATTTTTCCTCCCTATCTTAAAATACACACACATATGTGCACACGCAGAATCTCCCCCATCACCAACCTTATCTGAATCTTCAAATATGCTAACCTGAGCTTGCAGCAGGGTACATTTCTACTAGGCTAAGGATTTTTTAATCAGTTTTTTTTTTTTTTTTAAATCCTAGAGGGTTACAGTGCCAGTCTTTGCACATCATTAAAAACAGAATGGCTACTCCTCTGTGTAGAGTGGATAGGTACAACAATAACTTGTAGCCAGCAGAGGCTGACCTTCCTTCAAGCACTCCCACCAGCCCTGGATTCTAAGGCACACACATAGCCGGCCTCCCTTTGACTGCCCTTTCTTAGATGGAGCTTGAGGCATTTGTCATTCAGTTGGTTCACCTGGGATTGTGCCTTCTGGAAGCGGGCCTGAAGGCAGGAAGCATGGGGGTGTGTGTGCGTGTGTGTGTGTGCACGCGTGTGAGGTCCTCTCTGGGGAAATACAGAGCTGATGAGTCTCGGAGCCTCGTAGTCCAGAGCTCTAACAAACCTCCCCCACCCCCTTTCCCCGTGCTCATATGAAAGGCACCAAGGAATTTTGCTTTCCTCTCGGTGCTCCTTATAACTGTGGTAACCACGTACCAAATACCGGTTCCTCCCCACCCCCATACCTCCTCCACCAGGGCCACAAATTACACATTGTGTCCCCAGATTTATGTTCCAGGTTTGCCACACACAGTATTTGGGGCTCTGATTTAGCTGGCAGATGTGAAAAAAAAAAATCACTAAAGCTTCTGCAAAAACAGTTTGTTTCCAGTGTGTATGTTAAAAGCCCAAAGACAAAGAAGGTGAGGTTTACCAGGCATCCAAACCCTCATTACAGCTTCTTCCTCATTAGTGAGGTCATTTTGACTGGAGAGGGGGCTGTGGGTTGAGGAAGGTTGGAGAGTCTATTTCTGGAGGATTGTGACTATTTGTTTTAGCTGAATTTGACCCTGAGGCCCCCCACCCTCCAGACCTTCCAGTTCTATAGAGTGGGCTGGGCTGGGCTTGAAGGCACTAATTAATCTCTTCCTGCCTAAATCCTGGAGCTCAGCCTCACGGCTTTGACTCCAAGGACCTGTGGCCAACCCATCAATCCTGCCCCTCCCCTCCCCCCCAGCTGCTTCTATTTCTTCGGACTTCAGGGGCAGGGGGTGCAGCAGACCAGCCTAGAGAACCGCCAGCGATTGCTCCCAACTGCTCAGCAATCCAGGTGGTGCTCTTTGGCATTTTTCACTCATGCATTTACCAAATGCCAGTTCTGCTGCTAAAGGAGGTCATAAGGGTTCGGGTCGGCTGGAGGAGGGCAGCTCAGCCCAGCTGCAATCTGTCTTCTATGCAGTGACCTCCCGGGTGAGGCTGGAAGGTGGTTACTCATGCAGGATGCAGGCAGGGCTCGATGCCTGGCCTCTGGCTTTAGGGAAGAAATCCTGCAATCACACTGGCTCAGCAGCTGCCTCCCTTCTGAAGAGCTGAGGTTCCTGTAGTTTTCAGGGATCAAAGTGAAATCTGATAGCAGAGGCTACCTGTGTTCTGAGATCAGCTGCCCCAAGGTTTATTCTGCTGGGGCTTGCTGGGAGCTCCAGAGTTACCTGCTCTGCCCAAACTGAGGTGAGCTCCCACCCTCACCCCCGTCCTGCCTCTAGTCTGGATGATTCTGTAGGAAACACTTAGGAAGGGGAGGGGTAATTTCACCTCTGCCTGCCATCTTGCATAGTTACAGGGGAAGCCGTTTTTTTCAGGGTGTGAGTGTGTGATGTTCCTTAGTGCTGGTCAGTTGGGAACACATCATGGTGCCGGGAAACTGCAGCCAGCTCAGCCTGAAGCTTTGGCATAGCCGAGCCAAGCAGCTGAAGGTGGTTGAAAATGCTATTAGCAGGCAGCCTTTGTCCAAGTGAAAAAACATACATTCATTAAGAACTGAGCTGCAGAAGTAACATTCCAGAGACACCAAAGCTTTGCATAAAAGCGCTTTTCACCTTCGAGACGTTTGACAAAATTTAATCCAATGGAATTTGGGATCCTTCAGTTTCATGGACCACAGGCTCAGTGCTGGGCTCACAAACGCCCACATGTTCAATTCCCACCCTCCACTCTGACTAATCATTTCAGCTCTGTGGCCATCTTGATGGCTAGAAGCCTGTAAGAATGTGATCATGAAATCCTTTGTTTCTAAAAAGGAAAGGCGCAAAAGGAATTAACCTTTTGTGCAACGCTTTAAGGAAAATCAACATGCTGCTTGACATGCTGTGGCTCTGTGCATTGCACCTGCAGATATTAATCAACAAACATGCACGATCTAGGTTACCAAGACCTGTTGCCATTTACTTACCTGGGAGACTGATGCTAAACTCTTTGGGTAGGAGAAGGGCTGTGGCTCAGAGAGTAGCCCTGAGGTCAGATGGCATATTGGGGGTAGCGGAGCCAAGCACTAGGGGCTCAGGCAGGACCCTTTTCAATGCTAAGGGGGTAAAGACATCTGAGCTACTGATGAAATTCTCTTGCTGATTTGCTCAGATGACCTGAGACCAAAGTTACAGATATCAAGTCTATCAAGTCTGAATCCACATTACTATGGGGACAGAAATTAACCATGGTTGCCTCTGGTGGAGAGGGATGGAACTGACTGGAGAGGGGCATGAGGGAACTATCCAGGGTCACAGGCTATAGGGTACTCTGGTGCACACGAATTCATTGAACCCTGTGTAATTATACCTCAAAAGAAAAAAATATATATTAGAAAAAAATCCCAGCTGTCACATTTTGCTTTGAAATTTCCCATTCCTTACTTTCCTCTAGTTGCTGTCTCAGCAAATTTGCCTTTTAGCTAAATTTAATGCTTCTCCTCCAATATATAAGGACCAAGCTTCCTCCGTGAAGGGGACTAGAACTTGCAACAGAATCCATTCAGAACACTATTTCTAGTTTCCATGGATCCCAACTTATCACCTTGTTGTGACACACAAGCATTTTTCATCTTTGCTGTTGAAAAATGGTGTTTTGCTGAACAAGGCTCACCAAGTGGCTTCAGTAGGCAAGAAGTGGGAGGCCCCAGGGATGAGCTGTTCTCCCAAGGAGAAGGAAGGTCACCTAGGAGGAGGTGATCCTCGAGGCCATTAATGATGAGTAAGCGTAGAATCACAGTCCTGGGGGAACATTCCTAGGAGAGCAGTCAGGAGCTGAAGAGCCAGATGGGAAGGTCAGGACTCTAACTTGGGTTTCGCAGGAAGGGGAAGGGACAAGGACCTGCTTAACTCCATCGTGTGACCTCCCCGAAGCCTCTTCTCCACTGAGCCAGGAATGATTTCAAAAGGGAGCATAAGGAATCTCGTGGCATCTTCTTTCTTGTTGATGTTTAAAACCAGGGAGAGGGTGTCATTTGGTTGAGATAGTTTAGAGGTCTGAGAAACCCTGGTAGGAGATGATAGGTGAATCCATACCTAATACAGAATAGTTTCAAAAAACTTTTCAATTCTTGGTCTCTTATCACCCTCTACTGAACTTTGTGAGGCAAGGTGGAACAGACAAAATGGGAAAGTCAGGTTATGGGACAAGCCAAAGATTACACACCGCTAACCCACAGCAGAGCTGGGCCTGAGCAGCTGTTTCTGGCTTTCTCTCTCTTCAGCAGAAGGGGGCGGGAGCCCCGTGGCAAGGTCCATTCCTGGGGTCTGTATTACTCTCAGGTCCTTGCCAAGCTTTCTGATCTCCCTCAGGAGCTGAGGGGCATTTTATTTTGTCTTAAAATATTCTCTTTATTCGACTTTTTAAAAATAAGATACCACAAACATAAAACAACAGCGAAATTAAAAAAAAAAAAAATCAAGAGATGGGTTAAATTGAATAAAAAAAAGTTCATTGGCTGAAGAATTAATATACATTAATATACATTTAAGCCTATTAAAAATAAGGAATACGATCAAAATAAAAATAATGGATTCCTTTGTAACAACACACCATCTCATGTACAGTGGTCTAAAAAACGAGATTTTGCCACATAAATGGTGGGTCTATGGAATTTGCCAGCCGTCACATCTTCTGAAAGCTATTCCCACGAAATGTCACTGGGACCATAAGCAGGTTCAGACACTTTACTCCAGCCTGTATTGGCAAGTATCGGTGCTTTTTTTCTTTAAAAATATTTTCAATTTAAAAAAGGTGAGTTGCTAGACTTACTATCTGAACCAAATGTGAAAGGACCAGCCTATTCCCTGATTCCCCAGAGATTTTCTCTTTGAATTTCTTAATCCCGCCCAGTGGGGTGGGATCAATCTCACAGGTCTCCTCCCTTCTCAAGCGCCCTCCTCTTCAACTCACCCAGACCTTGATGGTGGCAGGGCAGAGATGGTCCTGTGACCAGGGACACAGGTGAGCTGCCAAGGACAGTTACTATCAGCCTCCTCACCTCCCGCCCACGACTGAACAGTGAGCAGCTTTTGTGTGTCAGGCACACTAGACATTTTCCAGACCCTCAGACGTGCTGATGTCCACAACACCCTTGCCTGTTAGGTATTACTCTAACCCCCATTGGACAGAAGAGGAAACAGGCTCAAATAGAGCTCGAGCCACTTGCCTGAGAGCATACAGCTAGTTAGTGGCGGAGACGAGTTGGCTGGTCTCCGTGATCCATACACCTTCTACACTGTACGTGACTGTCACTCTCAAGAAAAAAGGCACATGAAACGCTCAGGGATCACGAACTTCTCCACGTCCACCCACACCAGGCGACCTCTCTGGGCAGCACAGGATGATTTTCTCAACCTCACTGAGAAAGCAGCTGTAGCTCTCGGGCACGCTTGAGACCATCTAAGGCCCTCCTGCCCTGCCCGAGGTGTTTCCCTCATCATATGTGGGAAACCTGAGAAACAGAAAGTGCCACCTTTTGTCTGGCAAGCCTGGCAAAGTGAGACTTTGGTTACTGTGTTGAGCTGGGGTGCAGCCACCACTATTTGGTGCACATGGATTTAAAGTGGTGGCTGCTGGACGGGCCAGGTGAAGCCAGCACTTCTGTTTGTGGCCCTGCGTTATTGGTGCCTCTGGGATCTCTATAGCAACCTTCCCAGGGAAGCAAGAAGCAGGTGTGATGTTTACCTTTCCAAGGAGGTACAGGCCCAGCTGCCTTACTCCCGTTAGAACCAACTCCAATCAGAACCTTGAATTGGGGTGTCCCAGCCAGACTGGGGAAGCCCTCCCTGGGCTTTGTTCCTGGCGTCTCAGACTTCTGCCTTCTATCATACTCATCACTCACAGGGCTCTTTGCAGAGGCCAGCCTCTGCCTGTTCATTTGGGTGGGTGCTGGGACACCTTCCCTCATGGTCTCCAGCAGTGCTGGGACAAATCTGGAAACAGGCAGGCATGCCAGGAGTGACAAGGGCTCAGCGGCTGGGCCCCACACTGGTAGCACAATGCCCAGCACAGACACCCCCAGCCTCTTTTGCAAGTCGTGCGTTCCTGCTTTCTCGTTGCTTTTTCTCTGGTTGTGGGAGAAGTGTCTCCTTTTTCTACCAGATCCTTCTTATCTCCTCCTTCTAGTTCTGACTAAACAATGCAGATGCTCTTTGTATACATAGCTTGTAGGAAGTTCTTGGTGGACTCAGAAATGGAGTAGAGGCAGGCATTCCACTCTCAAGGCCCCTCAGTAGCCTGTGTCTGGTAGCCCGTGGAATGCCTCCCCTTCCTCTCCTCCTCCTCCTCAAATGTACTTTGGCATCTCAGCTCTGGTTCACTCCAAATTAGGCAAAGGCTCAAGGAAACAGAGACATGGCCGTGTTGCTATTGGCAACAACTTGATGCTACTTTTTTCCAACTGGGAAGTTCATGTGAGCCTTGTCTATGGCTACAGTGGAGGGTGCTGCTGAAGTTTTGCAGACTAGCAGGAGGAGTCACTTGCTTGCCAATGTGTGATTCTCCTGAGGCCCCACAAGGACTCTAACTCCACCCCCCTAAGGGTACTTCTCATCTCCTGCAAACATGTTCACCCCAAACATATCCATTGGTTAGGGTCCTTGGTTAAGCCAGCTACCGAGGCAGAGAACAATGAAGGCACAGGCAGTCAACATGCTGACCACCCCCCACCCCCCAGGAGCATAATCTTTCCATGAATGTCCATGTCCATTTGAACACATACGCAGAGGGCTGGCTCATTTCCTTTCTACCACCAGGAATGTAGTTAAGCAGGCATTTATCAGACATGTATTTCTAACCTGAAAAAGTATAGCAGGGGACATGTCGAGCTGTATTTTTCAAGACATCTCTGGATCCAAACTTGGGCCTAGGAATTCCTAGCCACTGAGAACCTTCTTACTTCCCTACAGACTCTTTTTCACATGTCACTGTGATGATTTTGGTCCCCGTGGGACAGTGGGTGGGTGCTTACGGAGGGGCAGGCAGAGCTGCCTCACTCCTGTTAGAGCCAACTATATAGAAAGTGAGATTGCCAAGTTTCTAGCAGGACTTGGCCTTAGGGCAGGGGGGAGTGGTTATGGGAGCCTATCTGAGAGATAAAGCCTAAGGCTGCTGCTGTTGCATTTAAAAGCATCTTCAAAGGTGGTGGGCTTTTCTATCCTGCTCTGCTAGGGGTCTAGGGGAAGCAACTTATAGGATCAATACCTAAAGACGTTATTTGCACATTGCCCCTGGAACCATGGACTCATCTCAGTGTCGTTTCTGGACCCCCTCAGCTCCTTGTTTCTTAGAAAGATAATACTATGGGCACAAAAATGGGCCAGAAAAATGGGAACACCAAAAAATGTGTGCCACTGACTGTCCATGGAACAAGAGAGTGAGTACAGGAGTGGTGGGCGGAGATGAGGCCACAGACAAACAAATCATCTCTTCCGGATTTTGGAGCACCTTCTGTGCAGAAGGGTCCCAAAGAAGGTTAGAGAGTGGGGACGCCGGGGTCACTCACCCACTGCTGGAAGGAAGCCACCTCGGGGGTGAAATGCAGCGGCCATTCTGACTCTGCGCCAGCAGCACTAGGCAATTGTGTTTTTAGGAAGGGAAGTGAAGAATAACTTATCCAGCTGAAACCATGAAGACCTGTGGCTTTAGGGGGACCCCTGCCCAGACACACACACAGCTGTGGCGGGCATGCAATCCATGCGCAGATGACATGCAGGTCCGCAGCGTATGTTACACATGTACCATACACTGAACACAGAGGCATCTAACAGGCAGGCAGCACATGCACCTGTGACTGACTACAGCTGTGCACATGTTCATGTGCATGTTTACACCACAGGCCCTTACATAAGCATCTCATGCAAGGTGCATAAGCAACCATGCGATTGGCTGTCGAGCATTATCCTTAGGCTCCTGAGATGCCAATCTTTGACAAACACTGCAAACTTAAAGCATTTATCCTAAGATACGTATATAAAACCTGAATTCTCCCCAGGAAAAAGCCATTCATGTCAGTGGAAATGACCTCTTTGCTTTTGTCTCTGTCGATACTACAAACAGTAGGAGCGTGCACCCCAAGGGTCTGGTTTATTGAGATTTCAAAGCCTCCCCTGCCACCTGCTCCCGACTCTTCCAACAACCCTACCTTGTAGTACGTGGTTAAAAAATAGAAGCCTTTGTCTATCTGGCAGATGGAGCAACTGGGCTTGCTGAGGCTGTATTGCTCAGGATGGCTCCAGGCAGGTAGACAGCTGAGAGGAGAGGGTTCCTGGGAATGAGGCTTCGGCTGTGCTGAGTGCTACATCTGGACGATTGGATCTCACGCTCCTACCATGGGGAGAACTATTCCTGATCTGTGTCTGGAGGCAGGAGGCGTCGTAGGGTCCTGCACCTCAATAGGAGGCGAAAGCCAGATCCTGACGACGTATGCAACATTTTCCAGGTGGCTCTCCCCACCTCCCTGCACCACACGGCGTCCAGCCCCACAGCTCCCACAGCTTCCCAGGCAGTGCTTAGGGACCCTGCGAAGTTGACCGCAAGGCAGAAGCTGGCCTGCTGGGCACCACAGTTCCCTCTGTACCCAGGGAAAGCAGAGGAACCGTTTCTCTGGGTCGACTTTAAAAATAAGCCAATAATAATAGCTAACATTTATTGAATAGTTCATTGAGCTGGGCACTGAGAAAAAATAAATGTGCTTTGTACACATTGTCATATATGAAATACCCACCAAACCATCCTCAACTGTATGATACCCACCTCACAGAATACTATTGGAAATTAAATAAGGCAATAAGAACTAAGCATGGGCTGCAGATAATATCATAATAATGAAAATAATCATACAAAGAGCTACGCTTGAGTGCATGCACTACAAATACCGTACTAAGCACCTTGCGTATTTTTTCCCATTTAATCATTTACTCTTATCTCTCTTTCACAGATGAGGAAACAGGCTTAGAGGAGCTGCCCAAATCATACAGCTAAGTGGTAGAGCTGGAGTAGAACAAAGTCCCTTTCAGGCCAAGCTCAGCATGACACAGACGCCCACAGTATAACACAGTGAGCCCCCAGGAAATGGCAGCCACTGTTGTCATGCCCTCATACAGTGCCAAAAGACATTCCATGCAGTAGGCTTCATTATACCCATCGGACAAGTGAGCGACTTGCCAGGGTCTTATTCCAATGTCAGGTGGAGAAATAGGATTCGCCTGGGGCTGCCTGTCTCCTACTTCCCCACATTCTGGTGGGCACAAAAGGGATGTCGTTTTCAGAGGGCAAAGCCAATGGATCATCTTCAGTAGGGGATGAGAATGCAGTTGGGGGAAATGTTGCCGCTAGATTTCTGACAACATTTAACCCTGGATGGTTGGGGGTGCTCAGTCACGCCCCACGTGGCTGGCTACTGACGGAATAATGAGAGTCTGGGTGGCTCAGGGCAGGCAGCCACGAGGGGCCAGTCGGTGCCTCTCAAAAAGCACTCCAGTCGGGCAAGATGCACCTTGCTGTGCCTCATCTGTGGGGTGCTGGGGACTATGGAGAGAAAGGGGACCCTGTCGCCAAACCTGAGAGAAGCTGCTAAAGGGCAGGTTAGGAGGCTCTGGTGGCAGCCACTCTACCCACACCCCTTCCTGGTAATCCTTTCATAATGTTCCACAGATCTAGAAATGATTCAGGAAAGCTGTGATGGAGGGCTTGCAAATGACAGTCTCTGCATCTGTGTCATTACCAAGGAAACCTCCATCAAGCATGTGACCGCTGGACAGTGGTCACTCACAAATGCTAATGGTTGACTCCCGTACATATTTAGAACTATGAAACTTTTCAGCATCATCCCAGAGACAGAACCCATCAGAATTTCTCCACTGGTCTGGCTGCGGATTACAAGGTCGGGTTGAGTTTTTCATTGGCTGCTCTATCTCCATTTCGCAACTTAATCTGCTATGATGGAAGGCCAGGCCCTTGATGCTTGCTTGACAGTCTGTCTTTTTCCATTAGGCACGAAGGTTCGGATGCACCATGCTGTTGGTGCAAGTGAGAAAGGCCAGGGGGCAGGGTGAAAAACGGTTCTCCAATCCTGTCGAAAAGTCTGGGTGTACCCTGGGTCCCCATATCTCTCTTCTCCACCTCTTATATGCAGAAACCAATTGTTCCTGACAGAGTTTTAAAGGACTGTTTAGAAGAACATAGTAACAATCAACTCTGACCAGGTTTTCTTTAGCTTTTTAAAGTTTTGCTGACTTTACCAGGATCGCCATGTTTAATGAGAGGCCTCAAAGAATTTGAAAGCAAAAGATGAGGAGAGGAAAAAAGCCATCAGCTATAATCACCATAATTATACAATCCTATGAGTTGGAAGCAGCCATAGTGAAGCTTAAGAGAGAGAAGAGAGTGTCATTTGCAATTGGGTTGGTCCTCAGGACAGCTGGAAAGAATGTGACCCCAGAGCCCTTCCCTTACCCAGAGTTACGTTGAAGATGAGTTCTCAAGGCATGGCCCAGGAGAAGGGGTCCCCATGGAGGGCAGTTTCTCCCTAGCCTAAGGCCTCCGAGGGCTTGTTCTGCTCCTGGTCAGGCTGAGACGTTTTTGGTGCCAGCTTGCCCATCTGGAATCTGCAACTGACTTTATCATCCTTTCTGCTTTCAATGAAACACCTTTTCTGGACAGGAATAATGACAGGCCAAGCTTCCTCGGATTCAGAACTGAGGCACCCCACGTACATGCCCACCGCAGCTGTGCTCAGCCCAACTGCACTGCAGTTGCTCAGCCTTCCTGTGCCAACAGGCACCTACGTCCCACCTACGTTCTCTGCCCACGGACCTCCCTTTAGTCATTCAGGGAGAGGGCCCTGTTGCCCAGAGCTCAGCTGCAGCAGCAGGGTCGGTTGAAAACAAAACAAAACAAAACAAAAACAAAAAGCAAGGATGACATGCAAAGGGCAGTATTTCCACTCCTTGACAGTTTCCCTTGCTTTGACTGTGTGTGATCATCTGGCTTTTTCTTCAAGGCACAGTCTAACCTGCCTCTTCGCCAGTCTCAGCAAATTCCCTCCATTTGATTTGTTCTTCTTTTCCATGGCTTATTTATAAACCACAGAACAAAAGGCAGTAGGATCCATTTAACAAATATTTTTAATGCATCGGACGATTTCAGTTGGAAAAGATGATAGAATCCAATGCAGAAACCTACTCTACAATATCCTTGGCCATTCGGACTCAGCAGGTTTTCAGGGAGCTCATTGTTCCCCAAGGTGACACAGTCTACTCTCGGGAAGTTGCTCCTGTTAGAATATGCTTCAGTAGAGTGACCCTGCCCATATTTTCTCCCCGTTTGTTCTAGCTTTGTCTGAAAGAATCGAGAAATGTCCACTCACTCTGGAAGACAAACACAAGTATCTCATGATGGTTATAGAGTCTCCTTAGAGGCTAAACATCTTTGTCTACTTCAGTCTCAGCTGAGATGGCTTCATGATTCCCCAGTTATTCCTTCTGAATTTTCTCTAGGTTGTTAAAGTTCCTAGTAAAATGGGAGGCTTAGGACCAAGACTCAGCACAGTCTAGAACAACACAGAAAACAGTAGAACACTTTTCTGTCTTCTGACCTTGCCACTTTTTTCATTGCTGCCTAAAGTTGCTTTTTTAAAACAAGTGATTGCATCCTGCCTTTGCTTATATTAAGCTTGCAGTCAATTACAACTCCGGATTTTTTTTTGACTTGAATTACAGTGAAGGATTCGAATGCCATCTTTTAGTAGTTAGACTGAATTTTTTCAAACATAAATTTTGTCTGGTTAAATTTTATCTAGTTGTTTTTGACACATCTTTCCCCCTAAAGGAGGTACTTTTCAAATATAATTTCATTATCTACCAAATGAGCAACACCTTCCAGGTTTGGATCTTTGAGTATGATAGGTATATTTGTCTCTTTATCCAAGTTATCAAAAATGATGTTGGATAGGACAGGGCAGTAGCTGGAGCCTTGTGGCCACAACCAGAAATTGCCTTTCCCATTGACATAGATCTATGAATTTAACCTCTTACCTGTCATTAAGATACTGTGAATATACTTGCTTTACCTAATTAGGGATAAACAGAAGGACTAAAGATGAAGGGGAGAGGGGCAGAAATAGACATTATTTTCAAGGTCATTGCACTAATCTCAGGTCACAAATAAATATTCTCTGGAGCAGGGGATATAGTTATAACGGTCATCCATATGCAATAAGCCAGGCTGATAAGGAGCGGGTAGAAAGTTCCTGCCAAATATTATACCAATGAGGCCCCTTCTTGTTTGGGGGGCTGGTGCCATTGCTCGGGCCAAAATGATTTGACGGTGACCAGGCAGTGTGAAAGAACCACTGCCATTTGGACCCTGCCACTGCTGGGGTGGCTAGACATTCCCAGGCTTATCCACCGTCCCGTTCATCAAGGAGCCATCAAACAAATACCCCAGGGTCTTTCGCTCATTGGCCTTCAGGTAACATCACTAAACTGAAAATCCCTCTGCTCTGAGCAATTCTCAGCTCCCTGCAGTGTCCCATTTAGCATTCTGCTTCATAGCAACGTCTTACAGATTG